TTTTTTTTTTTTTTAATTATGATTTGGGTGCAAGTTTACAGAGCAAATTCATTTTCCATTCCATAGTTCATACACATTTAGTTTCATGGCATTGATTGCAGTCCCCACAATGTGACAGCTCCCTTTCCACTTCCTCCCTGTGGTTCCCTTTCTCCTGTGTCCTCCCTCCGGTTACCTTTTCTCAGGGTCCTTCTCTCTATGCATTCCTGCCTTCTGAGCTCACTCCCTGTGCAAACACAAGGTTTGATTGTTCTAAGGGGTGTACCTACCTGGTTCTACCTGGTGTAATTGTAATTGTTCACTTTGGAGGCCTGTCTGTTGTTTGGCTGGAAGCCACAGGAGTGAGTTTAATTCCAGGCCAGTGGAAGGGTGACTAGGCCCATAGTCTCAGGGGGTCTCACCACCAGTCCACTGGCTTCATGATGTAGCATTTTCTGACCAGTGCCCTTCCCCGAGGGCCCAATGCCTTGCCTGTCTCAGATGTCCACGCCCTGATCATCTCCTTTTGTTTTTCCTTATTAAAGGAGCTCTGGTGTGAGTTTGGTTTTTGTTCTGGTAGCATAGTGCCTAAGGCACTTGAATGCTAACCAGAGGGCTGGCGGTTCAAACCCACCAGCCACTCCTCGGAAGGAAGGTTGGGCATTCCTACTTCCATAGTGATACTGCCTTGGAAACCCAAGGAGGGGTCGCTATGAGTCGGGGCCGACTCGACGGCAAACAACAACAATGACGACATGAGTCAGAAGCGACTCAATGGCTGTGAGTTACGGCTTGTGTTGGTCCCTGCGAGGATTTTCTGCCTCTGCTTGTCTTTTTGCTCAAACTCTCCCCGCAGCTAACGGAGAGCAGGGCACTCCTCGTCTTGCAGTCAATGGGTGGAACAGAGCACCGGCCTTAAGCAGGAGTTCAGTAAATTCATTTGTTATTACCAACCAAGGAGTTCTGGTGGCGTAATGGTTAAGCACTTGGTTGCTAACCAATAGGTCGGCGGTTCAAACCCACTTAGCGGCTCTGAAGAAAAAAGGACTTGGCAATCTGCTCCCGTACGGATTACAGCCTAGGGAACCCCATGGCCAGTTGTACCCTGTCCCACGGGCAGAGGCGGATCTGCGGAAAACAGGGCCCAGACCAGCATTGAAATTGCACCCCTGTCCAAATACCTGACTCCCGCCTTTCAGATCACTTTACCATTGTGTCTGGTCAGAAAGACAAGCTAAGTTCTTTGATCTGTTACTTAACACCGGATAACTCCACATGAAATTTACAACTCCACTTTCCTTGCTTTCACTGATGAAAATTGGTCTCTGATGGGCTCAAAGTCATTTTTTGTCAGTTTCTTCTTCCAACAGAGAAGAATCACACAGTCCGCCTGGACCCAGGGAGGCTCTCAAACACAAAGGCATTAGTTCGAACTGGCTGAGTGATCTCTCCCAGCTGACGGCAACTGCGATGGTTCGGTTCGTAGAAACTGATCAGGCGCTCCAGGGCACACGCCATGCCGGCCGTACCTTAGCCACGCCCCTGCAGATGCGGCTGCCAGGAGACAGCATTACTAACCAGGCAGTGATGGTTCGGTGGCAGAATTCTCGCCTTCACTGCAGGAGAGCGGGGTTCGATTCCCGGTCAATGCACCTCTTACGCAGCTACCACTCATCTGTCAGTGGAGGCTTGTGGGTTGCTATGGTGCTGAGCAGGTTTGGGGAGAGGTTCCAGACTAAGACGAAGAAGGAAGAAAGACCTGGTGAATGAAAGCCTGACTAGTGGAGGGTCAATGAAAACTATATGGACCCCAGAGGTCTGATCCACAACTGATCATGGGAATAATGGAGGACCAGGCAGTATTTTGTCCTATTCCTTTGTGCATGAGGCTGCACAAACCAGGACCAAGCTAATGATTATTACTAATCATATTAGCCGGCTGTCATTGCGTTGATTCCAACTCACGGTGACCCCATCTCGCAGAGCAGAACTGAGCTCCACAGAGTTTTCATGGACGTGACCTTCTGGACACAGATCACCAGGCCTTTCTTCCCAGGTGCCTCTGGGTGGATTCAAACTGCCGACCTTGACGGTTAGCAGCCAGAGTTGCACCACCCAGGGACTCCTACAAAACCTACGACAAAGCTATAATCCTTAAAACTGTGTGGAACTGCCTCCTACTTTGGCGAGTAGAGACTGGGATCTTAAAAGCTTGCAAGCAGCCATCTAGATGCAATGATGGGTCTCTCCTCGTCCAGAGCAAAGAAGAATGAAGAAAACCAAAGATTCATGGAAAGAATTAGTCCTCAAGACTGGTACACCATGCGATCCTCAGCCTATACGACTATGAGACCAGAAGAACTAGATGGTGCCCAGCTACCGCTGTCAACCACTCAGAGGGGAATCTATGTAGGAGACCCTGGATAGAGAGGGAGAACAATGTGGAACAAAACTCAAAATCATTTGGAGAAAAAAAAAGGGGGGAGGACCAAGTTTGCTGGTCTGATAGAGCCTGGTGGAACTACTGAGACTATGGCCCCTAGCTGCCCTTCAGGTCTGGAATTGAACCCATACCTGTGGCTTCCAGCCGAACAAAAGACAGGCATATGAATTGAACATCTACCTGAGGTAGATACATGTCTTGGAGAGAACAATCCTGGGAGAAAGAAGAGCTGTGTATGCACAGGGAGACAGCTCAGGGGGCAGGGGTACATGGAGGGATGGACACAAGGAAGAGATAACTATCGGGGGGAAGTGGGAGGGGAGCTGTTGCATTGGGGTAAATTGTGGTCAATGTCATGAGACAACGTGTGTGAACTGCTGTATGGAAAGTGAACTTGCTCTGTAAATTTTCACCCAAAAAAAAAAAAAAAAAATCCTTTGTGGAACTGGACCCAACTAATGTGGTGTTTTGAGAACAGGGTGGCCTCCCCCTCCCCCACCCCGCTGTGTCTCCGAGGCCTGGGAGGGTCTCCGCATTGTGCTTTGGGTGAAGTGTGGGAATCACCAGACAACACAGTTGCGGGGGGTCCTGCCTCTCGGGTGCCAGGCAGCCGCGGCGCTGCCCTCCTAAACTCAGCAGTGACTTCTCAGCCCCCGTCTTGGCTCTGTGACAGGAGAGGACGACAACTTATAGAGATGGCACACTGGAAGCGTCAGCCCAGGCCCAGACCACCGCCAGAGGCCCCTGCGGGATGGCAGTGTCCATAATTTTCATTTTACCAATGAGAGAGCCAAGCTTTAGTGAAGAAGGAGAGAAAAAAAAAGAAAAAGAAACCAAACCCACTGCCATGGAGTGGATTTCGACTCACAGCGCCCCTAGAGGACAGAGTGGAACTGCCCCAGAGGCTTTCCAAGGCTGTCAGTCTTCATGAAAGCAAAGCCCAAACCACACCCGCTGCCATGGCGTTGATTCTGACCCACAGCGCCCCTAGAGGACAGAGTGGAACTGCACCACAGGGTTTCCAAGGCTGTCATCTTTATGGAAACCAACTGCCTCATCTTTCTCCCATGGAATGGCTGGTGGGTTGGAACTGCTGATGTTTTGGTTCACAGCTGAGCTTTAACCACTGCGCCACTGGGGCTCCTTGTGAAGAAGACCAAGCATTAGGTATTGTTGCTGTGATCACATGTGTTACTCACCTGTTTATTCCCACTGACCAGGTGAGGGTTCAATGGACACAGTAAAACCCAACTCATTGAGTGGATTCCCACTCATAGGACCCCCACTGGGTTTCCAAGGCTGTAAATCTTTATGGAAGTAAATTTCTCTTATCTTCTTCCCACAGAGCAGCTGGTCGGTTTGAACTGCTGACCTTCTGGTTAGTAGCCAAATGCCTTACCCACTATGCCACCAGAGCTCTTTAATGCATACAGTAGGCACTCAACAAATGCTGGCTGAACTCAATCGATTCCCCTCCTCTGGGCCCCTGTTGTTCACTGTTGGGTCAATTCCAATTCAGAGACTTTATAGGACACAGTAGAAGGGCCCCATAGGGTTTCCTAGGCTGTAATCTTTATGGGAAAGCGCTCCGGTGGCGTAGTGGTTAAAGCATCAGCCTGCTAACCTGAAGGTCTGTGGTTGGAACCCAGCTGCCGCTCTGCAGGAGAAAGATGAGGCCCTTTGCTTCTGTAAAGATTGACAGCCTTGGAAACTCTCTGGGGCAGTTCTCATTGGGCCTGTAGGTGGCTATGAATTGCAATTAACTTGATGGCAGTGGGTTTGGTTGTATTTACAGGAGCAGATCGCCCCACCTTTGCTCCCTTGGAGCCACTGCGTGGGTTCAAACCCTACGACCTCCTGCTTATCTTCTGAACAGTGGACGTCACCAAAAGCTACTTAATTTCCATATGCCTCAGATGATGGTTACCAGGGCCTCAGGAAAGCAACCACATCAAAGCAAGTAACTTGGACTCTTTTATTGATAAGAATTCTGGCTAGAGCTGGAAACAAGATGCTCAGACCTGCTGGGAAGTGGGAGGGAGGGGTTCTGATGCTGGGGCAGGTCAGGAGGGTGGGGGGTGGGGGAGCTGGGGGCCCAGGGCTCGCCCCTGCCCCGCACACTGCGGGCCGGCTGTCACTGGTCTCCCTTCAGCAGGGACAGGATCTGATCGGTCACAATCCCAGTGTAGGTACTCATGGCTGCCGTGCTCTTGTTATACATGTCCCTGGGAGAAAGGATAATGCGTCTGAGTGGGGAGGGGCTGGGGCAGGGACTCTTGGGTCTGAGGGGGAGAGGGGCCCGGGCTCCTGGGGCCCGGATGCGTTAGGAACTGGTTGCCGAGGGGGCGTTGATACCTGATTTTCTCATCCACACTGGGCAGGTAGGTCTTCTCGTACAGGCCTAGGGCGGTGGTCTTGGCTTTGTTCCAGTACTCGAACAGGGACTCCTGCATCCGCGCAAGCAGGGCTGGGCTGTCGGGATCGTCAGCCTGCGGCAGGGACGCCCCCTGGACTTCTGCAGGGTGGCGGGAAGAGAAGAGGGCGCCTTAGGGGAGCTGAGGGGCCTGCCCTAGGTGGAAACAGGGGGTGTTGGGGGAAGGGTGGGGGGGTGCAGTGGGGGGAAGGAAGCAGTGTGTTAAAGGACAGCGTGGCTAGGAAGACGCTTGGCGCTCCCTTCCCCCTCCCCCGCAGACCACACTTACCCATTCCCAACACCAGGAGGACAAGGAACAGAGCCAGGAGGTATCGGGTGCCCATGATGCCAGCAGACCTGGAACACTGAGGTGTATTGTGGGGCGTGCCCCCCCCCCCCCCGTGACTACAGCGGCCTCTATGCCTGGAGTCCTGCCTCACTGGGGGAGTCGAGGGCTGGGATGCTACATCTCTTTCCCTTCCCTGCCCTAGTTAAGTTGGGAACTGGATGGCTTGGGCGGGGTGCCGTTCTTGGGCCTCACTTTCTAACATTCTGTGATTCTCCAGGAAATTTTAAATTCTGACCTGCATTCATTCATTCGTTCATTCGAGAAGTACTTATGGGGCACCTACTGTGTGCCTGGGACCCATCCAGCAGCTCCAGGGGAGAAAGATGTGGAGGTCGGTGTTTATAAAGATTGACAGCCCTGGAAACCCTGTGGTGCAGTTCCACTCTGTCCTCTAGGGGCGCTGTGAGTCAGAATCGACTCCTTGGCAGTGGGTGTGGTTTGGGCTTTGCTTCTGTAAAGATTGACAGCCTTGGAAACCCTGTGGGGCAGTTCCACTCTGTCCTCTAGGGGCGCTGTGGGTCAGAATCAACTCCAGGCAGTGGGTGTGGTTTGGGCTTTGCTTCCATTTAGATTAAAAAACAAAACAAAAAAATACCTCACTGCTGTTGAGTGGGATCTGATTCACAGCCACCCCTCTTTGGCTTTCCAAGGCAGTATCACTACAGAAGCAGATTGTCCAATCTTCCCTCCGAGTAGTGGTTGGTGGGTTTGAACTGCCAGCCTTCTGGTTGGCAGTCAGATGCTTTAGGCACTAGGCCACAGACAGCCTTGGAAACCCTGTGGGGTGGTTCTACTCTGTCCTCTAGGGGCGCCATGAGTCAGAATTGACAGCAGTGGGTTTTACTGTGCCCTAAAAGGTTCGTGGGTGTGTGTGACTCTTGAGTGGAAAATGGATTTGCTCCGTAAACCTTCACCCAAATCACAATAAAAAGTTAAAATAAATAAATACAAAAGGTCTGTGGATGGCATAAAGAGTCTGCACTCAACTAGTAACCTAAAGGTTGGAGGATCGAACCCACCGAGTGGCGCCGTGGAAGAAACGCCTGGTGAACTGCTTCTGTGAAGATTACAGCCAAGACAAAACCCTACGGAGTGTGCAATGTGTGGGGTTGCCATGTGTCAGAACCAACTCCACAGCCACGTGTCACATGCTAAGGAAAGTTCTAGACAAAGCAGCCCTTATGGGGCTGACAGGAGAGAGACACAAAGACTATTAAATTAGGAAAACACGGAGCGGGACAAGTGCCCGGGAAGCGAGGAGGCTGTCCACATAGGCTGGAAGAGTTTCAAGGGAAGGAAAGGTTTCCACCGAGGCAGTGAGTGCGGATAGGCATACGACACTTCAGAAAAAAACAAAAGTTCAGTCAAGCATGTGTCGGCCTCCACGGGCCCTGTTCTACCGCATTGGCTCATGGACTCATCGTCCCAACCCCAATTGTATGAGCCCCCGAATTTGAGAGACAAGGAAGCTGTGGTGGTCTGACTCTGGGAGGGGAGTGAACAGCATGAACAAAGACCCCGTGCTTCTAAACCCAGTCATTCTGATGAGTCCAACAGCAATTCTGTTGTTCTTCCCCTTTCTGACTTAACCAGCTTTGTCCCCTCCCTGGGGGGTGCAAACGGTTAATGTCCCGGCCACTAACCAAAACCCTGGCGGTTCAGCCATTGCAAAAAAAATCTGGGGAGCCTACTCTCGCACACGCGAAGTCGCCTTGAGTTGGTGGATGGCTCCCTCCCCGCTGACAACCCCACCACCACCACCTCCGTCCCTCTTACCAGACTCTGGCAGGCTGTCCTCACTAGCTCCCAGCAGGCAGACAATGGCTTTATAGCTTTGGACACCCACCTCCCCTCCACAGCTGCCGCCCGACTTCCAGCCTAGGCCAAAGTCCTGGCCAACAGAAAGGTTGAGGGGGTGGGGTGGGGGCCAAAAGGGCAGGGACATCCCTGAGGCCAACCATAGGAAGCCCCAAGTCTGAAATTCAGGCCTGAGGGAGTCAGACTCGGTGGGTGCGGTGGGGGACTTGGGGGTTCTGATGACCACAGAATGGGGTCTGGGGTCTAAGGTGGGAAGTGAGGGGCGGAGTTCAGGTGAGTGGCTGCTGTAGGGATTTGCAGACCCCCACCTGCTCCCCGGGAGCTCTGGTAGCTTAGTGCCTAAGGCACTTGACTGCTAACCAGAAGGCTGGCGGTTCAAACCCACCAGCCACTCCTCGGAAGGAAGATGGGGCAATCTACTTCCGTAGTAATACCGACTCAAGGAGGGGTCACTATGAGTCAGGGCCAACTCGAGGGCACATAACACCAACACCTGCTCCCCACACTTTATCTCAAATTTAGGAGCCATGAAGTCCCCCACAAGTCCTCAATGGCAGGTCTCAGAACCTGGGAAGTCCCTGAGCCACCCTCAAGGCCCTACCATAGTCCCTCTTTTGCCACAAGGCACTTCCGCTACTCATTACTGCAGTAACCCCAAGGGTGGGTGAGTGGGGTTATCTCTGGCCCCACAGGGAGGAAAGCTGGACAGGAGACAGACAGATAAGCTTTTCTTTATTCTGGACTTGGCCGCGGGAGGCGGGAGGGCAGAGGTCAGCCCCTGGGGGCTTCGACCCTAGTCCTCGTCCTTGCAGAGGAGCCGTGGGCACAGGCTGTGGGCCTTCTCCAGCAGGGCGTCCTTGGAGTTCTGGAGCCACGTCTTGGTGCGGGTACCCAGGTTCTTCAGGTGGTCGTCGTAGTAGGTCTGCACAAAGCCCTGGAAGGCCTTGGGGCCCCTGCAGGGAAGGGGCGTCACCAGCCAAGACCCCGGCTGCCTCCCCAAATTCTGCCCCATCTTGGGAATGAAGATTGGGCAATCTACTTCTGTAGTGATACGCCTCAGAAGCCCAAGGAGGGTTTTTCTTTTTAATCCCATACCACTCCCCTCGGACCCAGGGGTCTCTGCTCTCAACTCCCACCCCTCACTCCTCTCAGACTGCACCCTCTCTTCCTCCCTCAGGCCCAGGAGTCCAGCCCCATGGTCCCCTCCCTGCTCAGACCCAGGAGTCCAGGCCCCAGCCCCTCCCCCCTCAGACCCAGGAGTCTAGGTCCCAGCCCCCTAGAGTCCGGACCCTCAGCCCCGCCCCCCTCAGACCCAGGAG